CTATACTTCTTCCATCACTTCTAGACAGTTGTAGAATAAATGCCCATCCTTAGATGGAAATAGGGTGGTAGGGTTCTAATTATGACACACCTTTAAAATGTTGGGGGGTTATCAATAAGCATTACTTATAACTGGAGGGTCCTGCCCCGGGGATAGCCATTCTGCCTCCCCCTTCTCTTTTTTTAATGAGAGTTTGGGTATGGTGAGGAGTCCAGATAGTTAAGGGCTGCCCAAAGGTTAGCTTCTCTGTCTCCTTCAGGAGGAGGGCTGTAGCTGCCACTGACCAGAGGCAAGATGGTTTGCTTTTAGCAAGCAGGTCCAATTGCTTAGAAAAGTAGATCACCATCTGAGGCAGAGGGGCTAGCACCTAATACCCCTAGGGATATTCCTTCTCCTCTCATGGACATAAGGATGGAAGGGTTTGCTTACAGCTGGTAGGGCTGATGCTGGGGCCGTCATAAGCTGGGTCTTAACCTCTTGGACTGCTTGGTTGCATTCTACCATCCATTTAAAAGGGCCCATGTCCTTTCCTTTTGATTGTTTATACGAGGGGTGGGCAATGAGGCCAAAATCAGGAATGCAGAGGTGGCAGAACCAGGCCATTCCCAGGAACCTTCAGCATTGCTTCTGGGTCCTTGGTGCTTATAGTTGGCATATTACCTCCCATCTGTCTTGGGACAAACGTTGTTCTCCTTCTAGGAGGGACCCCAAATAGGTAACCTGCTGCTAAGAAATCTGTGTTTTTCCCTGGGAGACCTTATAATTTCCCTTTCTGCTAAGAAGTTGAAGACTAGCATGGTATTCTGATCTGAAATTTGTCTGGAGGGGCTGGAAATAAGAATGTAGTCCATGTCCTGGAGGAGGGTTCCCTGTTCCAAGGTCAGGTCCTCCAGAACTCTGTCTAAGGCCTCTCCAAATATTGTGGGTGACTTCTTGAGCCCTCGGGCTGTATTACAGTTCATCTTAGCTGCTGTTTTTTGCCTGTCTGGGAATCCTGCCACTCAAAAGCAAAGAGGAGCTGAGAGTCTGTCTGCAGGATACAGAAAAAGGCATCTTTTAGACATAGGACTGAGTACCATGTCTAACTAGGGGCAGCATGGATAGTAGGGTGTAAGGTTTAGGAACCACTGGGTATATGTCTTCTGTGACCTTATTAATTGCCCTAAGATTTTGTACTAGTCAGTATTTTCAATTTGGCTTCTTAACAAGAAGGAGGGGAGTATTGTAAGGGGATTGACAAAGCTTGAGTAGGCCTTGCTTAAATAAATTGTCTATGACAGGCTTAATTCCTAAAGTTCCTCCTGGTTCAAGGGGTATTGCCTCTCATTTGGGTAGGGACATCCTGGTTTCAGCTTGATAATCACAGGGGTCTAGTCCTGGCCCTTCCAACTTCCTGGGTTGTCCATACTTGAGGATCCATCTCAGGTAAGTCAGGTCCTCTGACTGACCTGCCCTTCTCAGGAGGTAGGAAGGCCAGGGCCTACAGATGGCCCCTATTTTCAAGAATTTCAATTTTCAATTCCTTTCCTTTTAAGTATATGGTTACCCTCAGCTTGTACAACAGGTCTTGCCCTAATAGTGAAACAGGACACTCAGGCAAAGAGGAAAGCATGTGACATCACTGACCCATCTAAATCACATTCTAATGGTTCCATGAAGAATTTGTTCTGTGATTTCCCTTCTACTCCCATAATAGTGCATTTATTTTTGCATAAACTTCCTTGCTGGGTATTCAAGACTAAGTGGACAGCCCCTGTTTCAACTAAGATTTTCTCCCCTCTTACTGTTAAGGTCAGCTGGGGCTCCTCCAGGGAGACTTGCAGGGCTGTGTGAGGAGCCTCCTGGCTCCTTTCAGCAGCCTTGCTCGGCTACTTACACCATCTGCCTGGGCAGGGCATGGTCTTGCCACTCTAGCAACTTCCACTAATTTCACTGGAGACATTCCCCTTTCCAGTGACCCTCTTCCTTTGCATATGGCACACTGCTTAGAGCCTAGCCTCCGAGATCTCCCTAGTCGGGGTTTCCAGTGACTTTAGGGGAGTTGCAGGGCCTTTTCTTGGTGGGCCCCATCTGGGTTTCCTACTGATTCAGGAGGGTGAGAGCCAAAATACTGGCTGTCTTCTTGGCCTTCTTGTCCTCTTTGGTATCAGCCTCTGCATCCCTATTGTTGAACACTCAGAAGGCAAGTTCCACCAGCGTGTGGGAGAGAGTTGTTGACTCTGTCTAGTTATACTTTTTGTAACTTTTTTCTAATATCAGGGGCACGCTGAGATATGAAATGGGATTATTAAGACAGCCACCCCTTCTGCCCCCCTTGAATGAATTGGGGTCAGTGCTGGCGTAGATAGGAAGACATTCCCTCAAATCTCACTATGAAGATAGATTGTCTCTCCTGGGGTCCTTGATTACTCTCCTTTAGCTAGCTTCAGTTGGTAGATTTCTTTCCTGTGGTCTCTATTTTTTTAATCCTAACACTCTACAGGGACTGAGTCGTGCCCTTCCTGTCACTGTCTCAGGGTCCCAAAGGCAGCCAAGGTCTGGTGTAGCCTCATTCCTTGGTCTTTTAAAAGGGTGGCTTGCCTTGTCCCTGTGGGCTCCATCCACTTCCTCGCTAGCCTTTTTGAGAACAGAGCTTTGGTTTTTCTGTTTTTTTGTTTTTGTTTTTGTTTTTTTCCTGCTGAGAGGTGAGAACAATGTTCAAAAGGGATTGGATACCTGCCTAGTTGGGGTCATGGGTCTGAAAATACCCTAAATGAGGTTTTGAAGATCCTCAGGATCTCTTTCTAGTCATTTAGAATGAGGCTTCCAGTTATAAAGATCTGAAATTGTGAAGGGAACATGTACAGTAACCATCCCTCCTTCCCTATTGGAGACCTGCAGGAGGGGAGAGGTAAGATGACTCACCCTGGGTACTGTCCCGGCTGACTCCCTGAAAGGAGTCCAGGGATGATGAAAGAGGGTGTGTTGCCTGCAGGTAGGGGCTATTATTCCCATTTGATAGATGAAGAGGCAGCTTAAAACCCTCCCTAGCCACTTCCCTCTCCCCTGCCCCTTTTTATCCTTCTTCCATGCCTATGCTTAATTTTTCTCCATAACATTTAAGTCATCATCTGACATTATATTTGTTACTTATTTTCTCTCTGTACCATTAGCATGCCAACTCCTTGAGAATGCACTTCTGTTGAGTTTTGCACACTGCTCTGTCCCTTTGCCTCTGTGGTTGAGCTCTGACATGCTTAGACAGCATGCTTTTTGGTGACACACTATTCAGAGACATGAGAATTAACATAGAAATGCATTTAAAGAGACTGTGAAATGTAGCTCACACTTGTAATCCCGGCAGTTTGTGAGTCTGAGATGGGAGGATCGCTTAAGCCCAGAAGTTTAAGATCAGCCTGGGAAGACCCTGTCTACGAAAAATTAAAAAAAAAAAAAAAAAAAAATTTAGCTGAGCATGGTGGCTCATGCCTATACTCCCAGCTACTATGGAGGCTGAGGTGGGAGGATCACTTGAGCCCTGCAGTTTGGAACTTCAGTGAGCTGTGATTGTGTCACTGCATTCCAGCCTGGGCAACAGAGGCTTGGTTTTTGAGACCCTGTGTCAAAAAACAAGGCCGGGTTTGGTGGCTCATGCCTATAATTCCAGTACTTTGGGGAACCGAAGTGGCTGGATCATTTGAGGCCAGGAGTTCAAGACCAACCTGGCCAACATGGTGAAACCCTGTCTTTACTAAAAATATAAAAAATTAGCCAGGTTTGGTGGCGCATTCTTGTAATCCCAGCTACTTGGGAGGCTGAGGCACGACAACCGCTTGAACTGGGGAGGTGGAGGTTTCAGTGAGCCAAGATAGCGCCATTGCACTTCAGCCTGGGCAACAAGAGTGAAACTCTGTCTCAAAACTAAACTAAAATGTAGTAAATGTTCATTAGTCTGTACACTTGCTCCAATATTTCTCTTTATTTTGTCATATATAAAGTATGTTTTGTTAAAAATAACATTTCAGATTGAAAATAATACGTGGACAGCAATTACTGCTTACTGCTTAACCGGGCTGTTACTGTGAGGGAAACATGAGCCAGTATCTGTGACACACTGTAAAATGTAAAGTACCCTACAACTGTCGCTAACTGCTGTCCAGAGAACTGTTTTTCCCCTTCAGTAATTTGCTTTCCCTTCTCCCCTGCTCCTTTCATTTCTCATTCCTCCTTCTCTCCCTCCTACTCCATCCTTCTCCTCCATCCCCCTCCTCCCTCTCTCCTCTCCCTCCTCCTACTCCTCACCTTTTCTCTGCTCTCTCCTCTTTCCCCCCCCAAGTCCTCCTCGTCTCCTCCTCGTTCCCTCACTCTAGCATCTCCTCTCCTCCCTCCCTCTCTCTGTTCCTCTCCATCCCTCCTTGCCCATCCCGTCTCCTCCCTCCTCAGCTTTTTCCCTCCTCCCGCCTCTTCGATCTCATTTCTCGGTAGTCTCTCTCTCTCTCTCTCTCTCTTTCTCTCTCTCTCTCTCTCTCTCTCTCTCTCTCTCTCTCGGCTTCGCCGCCCCCTCGTGGCCGATTTGCATCACTGCATGTGCCGTGGGCCCGAGAAAGTCTCACCCTCTCAACCCCTGCCAATGCAGCGGCCTATGGATGGCAAGCTGAAGGCTGTGCACAGCAGGGAACCTCAAAAGCTGAAATGCACATGTTTTGCTCCTAGAAACGTTGCCAGGCGTGGTGGCTCACGCCTGTAATCCCAGCACTTTGGGAGCCCGAGGTGGGCTGATCACGAGCTCGGGAGTTCAAGACCAGCCTGACCAGTAAAAATACAAAAATTAGCCGGGCGTGATGGCGTGTGCCTGTACGTTTATATGAATACAAACTGATCTTTATTTCCATCCTCAGTCCCTTCCCGCTTAATGGCATATCCTTCATCTTAGTCAAACCAGGCTACTCCTGAGTCAATGGTCTTCGTCCTAGTCAATTCAGGGCTTTACTGATTAATTCTGGGCTCCTCCTTTTCCTCAGATGGTATCTCAGTTTGGACATGAAGAGAAGACCGCTGCTGTGTCCACGCATGGAGGAGAATTGCTGGCCCTCCCTGGTCGTCTGTCCACTAGGGCATCTGCCTCTGCGTTCTTGTGCCCTGGTTTCTGATTGCAGAACCACTAAAATCCTGGCTTCTTTCCTCAACATCCTGGAGAGGTATCCTCAGCCTCTGAACCCGTCAGCCACATTCACACCCAGAGGAAGCAGGAAGCATCCAGCTTCCCCTACACCCTACAGCTCTGCCTTGGGTCCTCCCAAAGCTATATCCAAGTAAGGTTGCATTCTGAGGTACTAAGATTAGGATTTCAACATATGAATTTTGGGGGACACAAAACTGAATCCATAAAAAGGTGGTTCGAATCCTTTTAGAAAAAATGTTCCGAAAGTCCATGTATCTACGAATTTTTGAAAACTAGAAGATGATTTTGAATTGAGGCTGCTATTAAGAGAGACTTCATTTAAAGACTGAAAATAAACATCTTCTACAAGAATGATTTATTTTGTGCATTCCTAAACAATGATCAGCATATGGTAGTTGCTGAAGTATGCCATTGTTTCTATAGGAAATCTAGACATTTTAGTTACTTGGGGATGGAAATGGGAAAGTCATTTTCTTTGGAAGAGTAACTAGGAAGGAACCCAAAATAAGGGTATTGTCAAGGATGGTTCACCAGATGGAGAAGGTCTTGTTAGTTTCTTTCTTAAAGCATCCCCCTTTACTGTCTGAGAAACTTGTCTTCCTATCTTCACCCATGGAGAAAGAAACTCAGTCAGTCCTGTGTTTCTTGCTGAATTCACCAGATCTCAGAAATTCTGTTTCAGTTGTCTGTTAAGGAAGACCTCTATAGATTTAACTTGGTTGTGATACCCTCTTCTCTGGAAAGTCTCATCTCTGAGCTCTTTAGTTGAATATTGTGACTACCACACATGAGAGAAGGGAGGGGTATGAAAACCAAAGTTAGTGAGGAGTGGTAGGTATGGGAGAACAGGGTTGGGGCTCAGAAGGCCTAAATTCTGTCATGAACTGAATCCATACCCTGGAGTGTCAGATTGATTTATTGGCTTAAACAATAATGAAGAGTTTTCTCAATTCATAAGATGTTCTCAGGTAGGACATGGAGAGACTCTAGTGAGGTGGCATGCCACAGTCATTCTCCCTCCTCCTAGTGATCTTTTCTGTATTGTAGAGGCAGGAAAACAAAAAACTACCTCTCTTAGTTTCTCAGGCAGTCGTGATTTGGAAGAAAAATGTAGCTTAAACAAACTATATCTAGCAAATCAGATGTAGTCACATGGAATTAGGGAGGATAGAAATGAGGCGGGGACTGCATTTCTGCAGTTTCAACTGTTGTTTGGTTCTCCTGTGTACTGCTGTTAGCAGTCTCCAGTGACCCATAATGGATTTTTAAGACTTGAGAGGCAGGCCATAAGGCATCTGTTTTACTGGTGTTTATGCAGGTGCTGCATGGTTCTGGAGCTGGCAGCAGGCGGGAGCTTTCTGACGGTGGCGGTTTTCTTGGTTGTGGCAGTGATGCTGTAGTCTGTGGTGGTGACACTGTAGTGATTTTAGAGGAGCCAGCAGCTCCCTCAGTGGTCCAGTTCTGCAGTGTGGCATTGGAAGTCAATCTGAAGGCTCAACATAGAAATGTTACAAAATATCTTGTAAAAAATCTTTTCCTGATCTTGCAAGATGGCGGGTGAAAAAGTTGAGAAGCCAGATACTAGAGAGAAGAAACCCGAAGCCAAGAAGGCTGATGCTGGTGGCAAGGTGAAAAAGGGTAACCTCAAGGCTAAGAAGCCCAAGAAGGGAAGCCCCATTGCAGCCGCAACCGTGTCCTTGTCAGAGGAATTGGCAGGTATTCCTGATCTGCCATGTATTCCAGAAAGACCATGTACAAGAGGAAGTACTCAGCCGCTAAATCCAAGGTTGAAAAGAAAAAGAAGGAGAAGGTTCTTGCAACTCTTACTAAACAGTTGGTGGTGACAAGAATGGCAGTACCCGGGTGGCTAAACTTCACAAAATGCCTAGATATTATCCTACTGAAGATGTGCCTCGAAAGCTGTTGAGCCACGGCAAAAAACCCTTCAGTCAGCACGTGAGAAAACTGCGAGCCAACATTGCCCCCAGGACCATTCTGATCATCCTCACTGGACACCACAGGGGCAAGATGGTGGTTTTCCTGAAGCAGCTGGCTAGTGGCTTGTTACTTGTGACTGGATCTGGTCCTCAATCGAGTTCCTCTATGAAGAACACACCAGAAATTTGTCATTGCTGCCTCAACCAAAATCGATATCAGCAATGTAAAAATCCCAAAACATCTTACTGATGCTTACTTCAAGAAGAAGCAGCTGCGGAAGCCCAGACACCAGGAAGGTGAGATCTTCGACACAGAAAAAGAGAAATACGAGATTACAGAGCAGCACAAGATTGATCAGAAAGCTGTGGACTTACAAATTTTACCAAAAATCAAAGCTGTTCCTCAGCTCCAGGGCTACCTGCGATCTGTGTTTGCCCTGACGAATGGAATTTATCCTCACAAATTGGTGTTCTAAATGTCTTAAGAACCTCATTAAATAGCTAACTACAAAAAAAAAAAAAAAAGTAAAGAAAAAAAACCTTTTCCTGTGTAAACAATCTGAAGTGCGTTCGATTGTTTGCATTATAACCCTGACAACACAGAGGGCAATTCCAATGTATCCTCAATAAAGACCCAGATTCTTTCCATCTTTACATTTTGCAAGGTTAATGTAATGCATCAGCTTAGCTCCCTTCATGGTCACAAGATGGCTACGATTGTCTCTAGGATCATATCCAGGCATAGTAACACCCAACAGAGGAATTTGTTTGTTCTCATTTGTTTGTTAACTGTAGTATCCCTTGGGTCTAGAAAAGTGCTTCGCACACATTAGGCCAACAATAAATATTTGTTGAATGAATAAATGAATGGATGGATGGATCACTGATCTAGAACCACAAAAGAGCCTGTTTACTTTTCTGCTGACTGGCCTACCCTCCCTGCAAAATGGAAAGAATGTTTTTTCTAAAGTAACATACATATACACATACACAAAAGTTGAGTTTTCATATCCTAATACTTTGTTTCTAACAATGCAACTCAAACTCAATTAAGGAGAAGAAAAAAGGAATGTATCATACTATTACAAGGATACAATGGGGACTGTGGAGCTCAAGCACAGAGCTCCAGCTGGGCCTCATCACAGCTGGGAAACTGAGCAAAGGGAGTGAAGATGACAAGCAGAGGAGTCAGCTGGAACTAGGGGACACCCCAAGTTCAGGCATCCCACAGGCTGTGACCTTGGGCAACAGTATGTTTTGGAAGTTTCTGAACCTTTCTGCTTACTGATACCTGTGCTAACACCAGAATAAGAAAGAAATTCTGGAGATGCATCTGATGCCAAGGGGAACAGCTGCCTCTGTCTGCAAGAAAACACCTTCCTCTGGTGCAGAGGCCTGAACTCTTTTTTTCTTTATATTTTCTGCTACATTTTTGGATTTGCAGGTCCTCCTATGTCTTTCATAACTGCTCTTATAGTGCAGCCATAGATGAATGGACATGGCTATGTCCCGGTAAAACCTTATCTATGGGCAATGAAATTGGAATTTCATATAATGTTGATGTGGCACAGATGATTATTCTGCTTTTAATTTATATTCAGCAATCTAAAAATGTAAAAACAGCTGTAGGCAGTACAAGAACAGGTAGTAGGCCACATCTGGCCTGCAGGCATGTTTCCTGACCCTTGATCTACCCTAATGACTGTTGGATATTTGAGATGTTTTCTGAGGCCTGGTTTTTCAACTCTACAAAAAAAGTTTTTAAAAGTTTTTTGCTCAAAGAAAGGAAATCTAGTGAAGTAACTGACCTTTAGCTTATCATGGCCTGGCTTTTTTGTTAAAGTGTTTTATATTGAATACAAACCAACAAAAATCCTATTACTAAACCATCAAACTGTCCTACTATTAAAATGCCACTCTTTCATAAGTGAATTACTACTGTTTTTATACCTGGGATATGGAATGTTTTATATACTTGATAATTATGTCTTAGAAAAGAAAACTTTTTGTCCGGGCGCTGTGGCTCATGCCTGTAATCCCAGCACTTTGGGAGGCTGAGGTGGGTGGATCACTTAGGTCAGGAGTTTAAGACCAGCCTGGCCAACATGGTGAAACCCCGTCTTTACTAAAAATACAAAAATTAGCTTGGCGAGGTGGCGTGCACCTGTAATCCCAGCTACTCAGGAGGCTGAGGCGGAAGAATTGCTTGAACCCACGAGGCGGAGGCTGCAGTGAGCCGAGATTGGGCCACTGCACTCCAGCCTGGGCAACAGAAGGAGAAAAAAAAAAAAGAAAAGAAAAGAAAACTTTTTTTAATTGAGTATTTGTAATTTGTTGTTCCCTGTGATTTTATGCTATAAAACTTAGGCACTTCTATAAATACATATTAAATATAACCCTGTGTTATACTGGAGTTCTTATGATTAGAATCTGCATATTAGAAGGAATTAGTTCAAAGAGCAAACTCTAATGAGAAGACTCATTTATACATTCATTAAAACATTTTTATTATTATCAATTTATTATTATTATTATTATTATTTTGAGATGGAGTCTCCCTCTGTTACCCAGGATGCAGAGCAATGGCACGATCTTGGCTCACTGTAGCCTCCACCTCCTGGATTCAAGTGATTCTTGTGCCTCAGCCTCCTGAGTAGCTGGGACTATAGGTGCATGCCACCTTGTCTGGCTAATTTTTGTATTTTTAGTAGAGATGGGGTTTTACCATGTTGGCCAGGTTGGTCTTGAACTCCTGACCTCAAGTTATCCACCCGCCTTGGCCTCCTGAAGTGCAGGGATTATAGGCATGCTCCCGCCCGCATTAAAACATTTTCAGTAGATTTAATACTTTGATCATAATTGGGAGGTGTCAATCAAGTTGTCTTGTAAATCAAGTTGGCTTTTTGTTGTCAGATTCATTCCCCATCCTTCCTCTGCTCTGAGCATCCTTACCTTCTGGCTTCTGGGTAGGGTTAGCCAATGGAAGAATGACAAAAGGTTGGAATTCAAGAGGAACTCTGAGGCCAGGATATTCTTTCTTTCTGCTTCCTGTAGCATTGCCTACAATAGCTGCATCCATTTCAAGGTTTGAGATTCTCCCCTTGGAATTCTAGCTCCTGATGGGTCATTTCCTGCGGACCACTGTCACCCTTCTACCTCCCACTCTGGGCTCTAACATGGCCTCTTCCCGCTGCCCCTCCATCCTTAGGGGTGATAATAGCTTCTTGTTGTGGCTATTTTAATCTCTGGGTTACCCATCTGTGAATTCTTATCTTGGCAGCCAGTTCATTTTGCACTTTGTGACGATGTCTTATGAGTTCAGCCTAGATCATCTGCTCCTTGCAGGAAGGTAAAGTGATCTCTTGTATGAAATCTTATCTCAAACAAGAGGCTCCCTAACTCTTCAGTTTA